TAATTTTTGTTTTTCATCGCCTACAACACAGTTATTTTGTGTTGTCTTCATTGATGTCCTGGTGTGATCTCAATATATGTTGATCAGTTGATTTTGCTAATGAATGGTTGTGAATTTTATAAATTTATTAAAAATCCAAATACCCTCAAATTCGATGAAAAATATAATAATTACAGGACAACCAGTCTTAATGTTTGATTTCTAAGACTACTTTTGAGCACAAAAAAATCTTTTCATGTTATATTACTTTTGTTTGGCCAGCAATTGTCATGATCCTTTTGAATATCAAATACGCATGAATGTGCATAACTACATTATAAATAATCTCTTCTTTTCATCATGAAAAACAGTACTAAAGAACTTTTCTATAATTGATTCAGAATTCATCGCAATTGCATCATTGTATACAAGTTGTGACCAAGACCTGGACATTTATATGTTTATGCCTTTTAAAAAATTATTATAAGCGTACAACAATCACAACGACAACCATTTGAGAAGAAAAAATTTGGAATTCTAGTTCATTGAGTAAAAACATGGAGCACAATGATGCTATATTCAAGAAATACAGGAGTACAACAATTACAATATAGTTGTATTCCATAAAATAATGATTAATACATACATTAATCACTTCAAAATGATGAAAGAGTCTTAAAATAAAATTCAGCAATTCTTATATAAGCAGCTATTAAATAAATATTTAAAATATTTTATTAAATAATGCAGTGAGTAAACACATGGTGTACTAACCAAGAACAGCAGTAATACACTAGTACAATATGGCTGCACTTCATGAAATGTTGAAGGGTATATGAGACAAATCACTATAAATAAAAAATAGCTTCTTAAAACACAATTCAGCAATTCTAACCAATGGAATGTGTAAAAATATAGTTATACGCCTACATTTCTTACAAAGAAACAAAAATCAAATGATTCTTATAAAAAAAAGTAGATTATACTTACAGTTTAGAAAATGCTAAACAGTTTTAGAAATTACGTACATTAACAAAAATGTGTTAGAAACATATCTAACATCATCAGCGGAAGCAGACGCATATATGAGCTTCAAATGATACAGGTTAGCACTTTGTTTATTCTCCATCGTTAATACTTCCTTCTCAGGTTTTAATCTTTTTTTTTTCTTTAATTTGGGCAACAAAAAAATATTTAGACATATACCCTAAAACTTTTATGTATTTGTTTTTAAATTTATACCGCATACATAACTTTAGCCAAGTCGATTCAAGCTTCGCTGTTACTTCTGAATTTATATATATAATATATATCACACACTTGTCAATCTAGTATTGACGTTAGAATATAATTTTACATCCGGTCTCCAGACAGTAATATTTTATCCTTTAAAATGTACTAGTTTTGCTATGTCGTGAATCTCATTTTGTTGATGTTCCTAAATAGAAAGCATGGATTGATTTTGGTACTATTTGCATCGCCAATGTCATGCAGGTTTTCTAAATCAAAGGAAATCAGAAGAAAATGAACATATCATCTATTCAAAAAAATGGTATGCGTTCAAAAGGCAAGGCTGTAAGAAAAATTACATTATTTCTTGAACATTATTTTCACCTAAAGCTTGAAACACTTTTTACACCATCATTTTCAAGAAATTTGATTTATGTTACAAGTCCAGTACGTCTGGCTTTTTAGTTCATCTATATTTTTATTCATTTACCATTGGTACTTTTGTTGGCCATAGCATACAAGTTTGATGGTGTAGATTATAACATTTTTAATATGAATTCAATTTGGGGATGAAGTTCTAGTTAATGGTGATTTGTAAGAACTGGACCCAAGAACAATTAGTGTTGGGCCATATCCTATCTTAAAACTCCAGAATTTATAAAACTTATGGTTCATCGCAAGAAAAAAGAATTGTTGAATCTTGAAATCCCCATTTCTAAAGATCCTAAATTGATTAGAAGTGGAATTCCTAGAAACATTAAACTTCATGAACATAAAATTGTTGAATTATCTCCTTTAAAAGGAAAAAATAATTTATCACCAAATGAACACTTCAAAAAATAATGAGTATATAAGAATATCATTCAAAAGTTTGTTTACCCACAACATGAAAGGGAAAAACTGTGTTGATATGACGGCATGAAGGAAGAGATGAACTCTACAGCTGAAAAAAGAAAAGTTTAGAATTTAGATAAATTACTAATTGGTCATGCAGCCATAGACTGCTAATGCAAAATAATGTAAGGACAGACTTGTAGCTGAGGATTTCACTCAAATGAAAAGCGTCAATTATCATGAAACATTCTCTCTAATTGCTAAAAAACATTCTATTAAAATAATTATGACATTAGTAACTCAATTTTGACACGGATCTACAACAAATGGATGTGAAAATGATATTCTTGAATTAATCTTGAAGAAGGTTGTACATGAAATAGTCTAAGAATTCAATGACGACGAGATTGTTCACTGGGTTAGCAAATTAAAGAAATAAATCAATATGTGAAATAAAACAAGCTTCCTTTTAATGATACTTAAAGCTTCATAGTTGCTTTAATAAAAATATCATCAAGCCATGAGTATACCCTAAGATAAATAGGATGGTTTTATATGTAGATGATATTTTACTTAAAAGTTGTAAATGATGTTTGTTGCGCAAATATAATGATTTTATTAAGCAAATTTGACATTAAGACTTTCAATGAGGCTCTTTATGCCATTGCATAGAAGACTGAGACCGATTCATATAGGTATCCAAAGGGTATTAGGATTTTCTACGAAAGCCTACATTGTAAAAGTTCTGGAAAAGATTCAAAAAAAAATTGTGGGCCTACTATAGTACCAATTATTAAAGGGGACAAATTCAATCAAAGTAAATGTCCACAAAATGATTTGGAATGAGAACAAATGATGTCCATAACTTAGGCTTCCTTTATACGCATTTTGATGCATGCACTGCACTAGACCATAGCATATGTGTTGGATATAATAGGAAAATATAAAAGTGATACTTAAATGAAACATTAGAAAGTTGTAAAATAGAAATGAGTTATTGACAAGAAACTAAGGATTAAAAGCTTACATTCAAAATAAAGACTGACTATTCCAACCCAGCTTGTGGTAGCTGCATAGACACAAGGAAATTTGAAAGTGACTTTTTCATTTTTTGCTGAAGGTGAGAAGTACTAAATAAGTGATAATTGCTGTCTAACATGGAGGTAGAAATTCTTACAGCAATTTCAAAGACCATCATGGTTAAGAAATTGGACTTAGGTTTGAAAATTGTTTATTCTATAGCAATAACACTGAAGATGTATTTTGATAATTCAATTATGAGTTATTTTCTAGGAATAATAAAAATAAAAGCCGTTTCAAACATATTGACGTAAAGTGCTTAGTCATTTATGTATGTGAGAACTAAGATCAAGATTACATATCCCATGTCCATAAGAATGGTCTGTCAAATTGATTAAAGATCATGGTAATAGCAGGGACTACTTGCTAGGGCTGCATTCATAATGCTTTTTATTTCAATGAATCAAGTATTTTATTCATTTGTTGGATACTAGTTTATTTTGCTTAATCCTGGGGGAGTATTTAAGTTGCGGACCTTGAATGACTTCTGCCAAATAAATTTATTCATAAAGTAACATAGTAATAATTTATAAAGTATCGTGCTTATGATACATAATTGAAATTGTTGATTTGAAAAGAGGATGATTGACATGACTCGAGAATTGAAAATACGAGGTATTTAAGTTGGACCCTGAATGACTTGAAAAAAATTTATTCATAAATTAATATAGTACTCATTTATGAAGTATTGTGCTTGTGATACATGATTGAAAATGTTGATTGGAAAAGATGATGATTGACGTGACTCATGAATTGAAAATAGCTCCCAGTAAAAATTTATGTTGTTAACCTACTGGTGCTATTTTATTTTCCAATCAATTATTATATTAATTGTTATATTAAGCTATCACACTTGAAGCCAATTTTGATGTGTGGAACAAAACGGAGAAAGTTGAAAATCTCATGTAAGATATCATGTGTTTTCACTCAAGTGGTCCAGCTGTTTAACATAATTTTATTTCATTAATGTGATCAATAAAAGAGGATAATGTGAAATTATTAACAAGATAATGAAGATAGTAATAATTTTTTATTCATAGACAACTTTCCTGATGAGAGAAAGTAATAAAATTGTTACAAATAGCCAGGGTTCCTATGTAGCCCAAATTTATTTTTTTTCTTTTGATGTCTATGAGTTCTCATCAATAGAGGGCAACAGAAAAAATCAAAGGTCAATTATGCCTTTCATTTTTAATCAAACAATCTAAAAAATTATATAACACTGCCAATATAATGATAATTACATAAACCTAAAAAAAGGCAAGATGGCAACCAAAAAATTAATCCTTGTTGATTCGTCTTTATTAATAAGACAAGAAATTAGTAAATACTAGCAACTATCGCAACAGTGCTGAAAGCAGTGAATGGCGTTGTAAATGTGTCGTCCACCTCCTAAACCAACCAAATGATATCTTAAACATATTTAATTTTTAAGCAATCTAACAAATCATTCCTCTTTCTAATTTACAGCTCCTTAACATGGAGTAATTATACTATGTGGCCTTAATAATTAACATACTAACCCTTATTCCAAACAAAAGAGGTCACGTACAAGCCAAATAGAAATTGAACAAATCGCAGGAGGGTTTTTACAATTTAGCAATTCCTCTTTCTTGGATCAAAAAAGTTGCTAAGCAAATAATCCACCATCCCTTATTTCTAAAATTGCTGCATATTGACAACCAAGAAAGCTGTTATCTAAATGCCGCCCAATTCTCTCAACATCAAAATACCACCTTTCTAAAGTTCTCAATAGCTACACTTCCAGTATGTTGATATACGGCACCAGTGTTAATATAAAGCAGAAAAAAACATTTCAAGAAAGAAATTTATAACATAGTACCCATGCACAAAATCCACAATCGAAGGACTTGAAATAACAACAGAAGAATAGAAATTTATAAATTTTAGGGAGCAAAATTAAAAATTTCTAAATCCAACTTTGCTGAAGTGGAAGTAAAACTAAAACAAAAAACGTAATAGAATATCACCGAAGGTCTGTAACATTCGGGAAATATCAATCAATCTCCTGGAGGGAGGGAGCAGAGCCGGCGGCCACCTCCTCAGCGGAGAACTTGCCCTTGGCCTTGTCGGTGGAGCGCCCACGAGCTTTGCGGTCCAGGAGAGACTTCCGGTCCTTGTCGAGCTTGAGCTTGGTGATGACAACCTTGGAAGGGTCGATGCCAACGTTAACAGTGGATCCGTTCACCTTCTCTCGGGTGATGCGTTCGATGTGGACGACCCATTTCTTCCGGTACACCTGGACGATCTTGCCCTCCCGGCCCTTGAAGGTGCCGCGCACCACCTGCACCTCGTCGTCTTTCCTCACCGGCATCGACCGCACGCTGTGCTTCCCGCGAAGATCCAAAGACAGGGGAGCGCTCATGAGCTTTCGCCGCACACTGGATGGCGCCGTAAAATGGGCCTTGCGGCACTTGCGCCGGGAGCTCGAAACCCTAGGGTTGAGCTTCATGCCGTCTGCAGCGGTTGCGGGATGAAAGAAACCCTAGCAACTCGAGATGCAGGTAGGGCGGTTAATCATCCGATTTAAGCCGCATAAGAGCGTTCCAAATTGGCTAGATATTGACTCGTTTATTTCGACATTCGATCCGATTTTGATCTCCATCAAAATTTAAAAAAAATTTTGTGCGAGATTCGAGCTAAAACATAAATCTAACATAAAGAGGCTGTTGATGGCTCAAAAAAATTCAATTCAAAATTTTGTGGCGTAATTTGGCTAATTTTTTTCAATTCGAAATCGTTATAAGTCATTTTTCGAGCGATTAATAATCTTCAAGCTAAATTCATAGCCGAAACTACATGATCTGAATCAGTATTTGGCTGCATTTTATATCCCTTAAAAATTGATAAAATTGGTGTAAGGAAGTAAGTAATTTCTAAATTATTTTTAAGTATTATAAATTTCTTAAAAGGATAAAAAATATTTCAAATATGTCTATCTTGGATGATATTTGAAAACCGTAGCCCATCTTACGCTCATTTTTATGTCATTTCAAATATCTCTACTTCGTGAGTCGTTTTATAAGGGGGGCAGTAAGAACTCGTTCCTTCAACGGGCTCGACTAAAATAGGTGATAAAAAATTAGGGTTCTTTACTTTTTCTCTGTTGACCTCACTTTTGGTTGAGGTATAGTGTTTCTTCTTTAGAAGCCTGGGATCTAGCCATAGGACTTTCCTGTTGACTACTCCTAGAGGACTAGTGATGGCACTCTCACCAATAGAAATTCTAAACTCTTCTTTGCTCATCTTGAAGTTTCACATGTTAGTTCTAACCTTTAACACTAGCAAGCAGGACCAATATGAACGAGCTGAAGTTGAGTCCCCATAGGTCTGTTTGGTCTTAGGGTTAGCCCTGGGTGATGTGGGTCTTGGTCAGTCTTGTCTTGGTCAGTCTTGCACACACACACTTGTACTTTCACTCACAACCTAAATCCTTAGCCAAACATGCCTTAGTTGATCCCTTACTCTATTGAAAACGCGTCCCCTAAACGATTAGCCTTGGGCTAGGCTTTGGCTAAACCAACACATGGAGGATCCATAATGGGTGTTCCCCTGGTCTCATGGCTCAAATAGGGTGACCCATGGTTAACATTCTTAATCAATTCCAGTTTTACCAAATTCCCAATGTTGACCCTTCTTGGCTCCAACTTCACCAAATTACCAAATTGTCCCTAAACCCTAAATTTTTCAAAAATCCCAAAAATTACCCAAATTCTCAAAATCTCTTCAAAATTCATTTTGAACCATTCCAATTCACTCAAATTGACCAAAATACCTCAAATTTTCTTAAATTCCCAAAATACCCCCCAAATCCCCAAAATTACCAAAATACTCTTCAAACCCCAAAATTTCTAAAATTCTCAAAATCTCTAAAATCACTCCAAATGTACCCAGAATTAATTTGAACCACTCCATTGAGCTCAATTTGACCAAATTTACCTCTTTTGACCAAAATCCCCAAATTACCCCTAAATGAATAAATTGCCCAAATTACTCCCAATTTCCACCAAATTGACTTCAATCTCACCCAATTTCATTCCAAACTCAAATTCATCATCCCAAATCCCAATTGAAACCAAATCCAAGCCCAATTGAATCCAATTTCTAGCCTAATTGAAAGCCTAATCGAGAACCCCCAATTTAGCCATACTCTTAAATTCCCACAAATTGAACCTCATGGTCAAGTCAATTTCCCCAAATTTGAATTCAAAATTTTTCATAACACATCCCCAAATCAGTTTGAACAATCAATTGAAGCAAATTTGAACTCAAAGCTCGCCAAAATCCAACTAAAGCCAAAATCCCCAATTTTGCCACAAAGTTCAAATTTCCACAAATTGAACCTCATAACCCCATAATTTCCACTCAATTAAACTCTTCATGACAATCGTTTAGACCAATTTGAACCATCAAATGACCAAAACCCTAACCCTAGCTTATTCTAAACCCAAGTATAAACCAAATGCTCCAAAATTAGCCATATGACCAAATTCCGCCAAATTGACCTTCCTAAACAATTCAAAATCACTCAATTCCATTTCCAAACTTCTCATGGCAATCATCCCCATCAATTTGATCAATCACTTGGCCCAAATTGCAACCCAAAGTTCAAACCAATACCCTCAAATTGACTTAAATCCTTTGCATTAACCAACCTTAACCCTCCATTAACCAACCTTAACCCCTTAACCCTCTCCTGCCTTGGTTAGCCACCTAGGATGCTAATCAAATCACCCAAGACCCAAAAATTAAGCCATGGACCAAGAGTCCTCCAAATTAAGAAGATTTGCTCCTCCATTTGAGCTAAACTTTTCCCCCCATGTAATCATCCATCAAACCTCCAATGTAATCACAATTAAAACATCACATCACTGGCCCTCCCTGAACCAGCTAGCCACCACCATACCTCTGGCAAGCCACCCTAGTCACTTGAAAGCTCAAATTCGAGGGGACCCTCCTCTCTTTAAACCCAAAATTGAACCCATCCAATGTGTCAGTTTTCCATTGGATGCTTGCACTGCTCGGCCCTCCACCTCATCCTTCTTGCACCAACCAATCAAAGCCTGAGGCCCTCCCTTTGGGCATGGCTATAAGAACCCCATTTTTTTGCAAACTCTCAAGAGTGCTCAATTTCTTAGGGAAACTTTGTTAAAATCTCTCTATAGCTTCTCTTGAATTTCCTTAGCATAAGCCAACCATCTTCAGCTCCTCTCTGCGCCTGCCTGAGCTCAATTTTGAACACAAAATCCAGGGCTTTTCTGGCACTCCACCGAACTCCGCCCCCCAAAACTCCAAATTAAGCCACCCTAAAGCTTCCTCAGACCAAACGAGGAAGCTCTTCATCGAAAGCCCCCTCTATTGAGCCCTCTAACCCATCTCTAGACCAAGGCCGCACCACCCTTCAATTGAAATCATACTTGAAGCTTACACTAGAGTAAACTAACACTTTGAGGAGGTTCTTTGGACTCCACTGAAGCTTCCACAAGCACCCAATCAAGGTTGCACCTTTTGGGCAAATGTATATTTCAAAAACCCTAAAAATTTCTTTAGTTTCCTCAATTGTCAAAAGAACTTGTATTTCATGCACTTGTAACCATATAGATATGTTCGTCTCGCTAGATGAAGGTATAGGAACAAACCGTGAGTAATTTGGTTGAGTATCAAGAGAGATCGAAGCGCTTTAGTGTGGACGGTTCTCGGGTTAGGATGATTGAGGACGATGAACAGATGTAGTTCGTTTCCGCGTGTATCAAATGGAAGGCCAGGATTGCGTCGGACAAAGGATGGAATGATAAAGTGCAGATGTGTAGTAGCTAAGTTAAATAGTGGCATCCAGTAGCATGACGACACGAGGGGTTTCGAAGCGCCGTAGGATGACACGACGACTAACTCAGATAAGTAGAAAATTAAGGGATTTTTTCTTTATTTTAATTCTAGAACTTAGAAAATCCATATATTTTCTTATGAAAAACCTAAAAATAAAATAAAAATACCTTATTGTTCAGTGAACAGAGGAGAAAAATGTAGAATAAAAATAAATTTTATTTGATGTGTCTTTGATTTTTTAACTAATTAAATATTCTCTGGACTATTTTAATTCTAATTCAGTAAACAATATTCACCATGACTTGAAATTTTTGGTTGATTTCTCATGTTAATAGAGATGTTCTCTGATTTTTTCCAAGGTTAGAGAGCATCTCTATCCTTGAAACCCTAATTTTCAAGCTCAGATGGCTCTATTTGCTTAAAATAACTATATAAAATAAAATATTAATTTGTTTGCTTAAAATAACTATATAAAATAAAATAGAGATGTTTGGTAGATTACCTGTGGTTAGAGGGCTCTTGGAAAAATGTAAACTAAGTTTGAATACTTATGTAGATTACTATAGTTAATCAAACCCTAAAAACGAACTAAAATTAAAGTAGATAAAATCTTATGCAAAAATTAATAAAAAAAATCATTCCACACTGCAAATCATAATCATTCTAACTCACTGTAAAAAATTAAAATTTATTTGATTTAGTTTAAGCACTAAAGTCTATTTTCTAAATAAAAATGGTGTTTTGGCATTCAAATAATTTTAATAAATTAATAATAATTAGGAAAATTATGAAAAGGGTTTTCTAAGTTTCTTGTGATCAGTGGCACATAGGAAAAATAAAATAAATTTTAAAATAAGTAGTTCATTTTTTAGTCGTATTTTCAATTAAAAATAATTAAAAAATTATTTAAATTTTCAAAAATATGAAAATGCCTAAAATTATTTCTAATTGTTCCCTGGTCAGTTTAGTTATGAATTTTTAAATGTCAAAAAATATATTTTCTCTAATTTTCCATTAAAATAATTATTAAAAATAAAATTAAATTTGCAAAAAATGAAAATTTTGTTTCTCTTAGTTCTTTGGACTTAGAGAAATTTAATAAAATTATGAAATGTAATTGTTAAAATTAAACGTATTTTCTATTTAATTAAATCACTAAAATATATAAATAATTATAATGATTAAAAAAAATTTTAAAAATCATGAAATTTTTTCCAAGTGGTCATCTAACAAAGGTGAACCTCCAATAATTTTCTCTTGGCCAAAAAAAAAAAAAACATTACTTTGATTAGTTAAATAAATTAATATTGGAAACCCCATTTTCTGAGTAAAAAATAATTACAAAAATTAGATAAAGAAAAAACATATTTTCTCCTCTTATACTTTAATTTACACATGAGTGGGGTATCATATAAATTTCAAAGTCATTTGAGTTATATTTGATGAGTTATGAAGTGAAGAGTCATGGGGGCAAATTAGTAATTTCAGATTTTGATGCCTTAATTAAAATTTAGGGTTAACCAAAGGGGTAAATGGGTAATTTTGAGCATAATGAATTTTTTTTTATGTTTGAAATATAATGGGTTAAAAATTAGAAACCAATTTGCCACCTTTTTCATGATAAGGGTATAACTGTAATTTCATAACTTGGAAGTCGATCTAATCGGATGATACTAAAGTAGTGGGCTTGAATTAGGAAGATAATAAT